CATTCCTGTGGACAGGGAGCTGCTCAAATGCTTCACACACAAATGACTTTGCAACACAACCAGGCCACAAGCTCATGTCCTATAAGCCCACAAATTGACACTCAAAGAAAAATCAGATTCAATCCCAGATACAGATGACCCAAGGGAAAATGTATAAACCAACATGCTCCACCCACAAAACTCTAAGCTCAAAGACACACAACCTGCTACCACTTCCTTCACATGCATATTGTGCTATACCCCTATCCTCCCCTCCCCCCATTTTGCCCACTGATATTTGGTTCAGGTATGGAGCATTCAAGACATAAGCACTTCAGTGTCTGTGAAGACAAATGAAAACAAGGCAAGAGGGCACGTGGAAATGACTTTGAGTGTGGTTTCAAAGTTTATGGGCTAATAAAAAATTAAGCCTTACTCTGCTCTCCTCTTAAAAAGTATCCCCATTATTCTTTTCACACCCAAACTAAGTTGTTGTGTCAATGACAACAACGTTTTCAATAACAACAGAATGAACATATTTTGAAAAACTAAATATAGGGGCTTTCCTGGTGGCACAGTGATTAAGATTCCACGCTCTCAATGCAGGGGGCCGGGGGTCGATCCCTGGTCAGGGAACTAGATCCCACGTGCACGCCACAACTAAGAGTTCACATGCCTCAACTAAGGAGCCCGCCTGCTGCAACTAAGACCCAGCACAACCAAATAAATAAATAAATATTAAAAAAAAAACAAGAAAAGAAAAACTAAGTATAAATCACCAAGCTCTATTAATTAACATTTTTCATCCAGTGTCTACTGAGCACCTACTCTGTACCTGCTCTGAGCAGAGGAGATAAATAACAAGCTCACAAGAAAGCTGCATGGAAGGTCAACAACCAAATATGATACAATGTAACAACTGCTCAGGGAACAAAGCAGAAGCCTGTCTTCTCCTGAGTGGGTAAAGCCCCTGCCCTTGTGCTGTAAGAGGTCTGCAAGGGGTGTGAAGATTTATCCAGGAGGTAACACTCTCACCGGGCCTTCCTGAAGGCGAGTATCAATGCCGGGCAGGGTGCGAGCAAAAGGCACCAGGCAGGGGAAAGCACTGGGGCCCGGGCTTGGAAAGGAAGAGGAGAATGCTTAGATGACGGGCCCACACCTGTGCTGGAAGTTGCTAAACATTCGGCTACAAACGAGTACCTATAGTAAGTAACTCTTCAAGTAAACTTCCCAGTATGCACAAATTATCTGCGATTACTTCAGGCTAAACTGATTGCCCCCTCCCTTTTCAAAATATTTACGCTTTTATGCCTAGTCATCAAAAGTTATAGGCGTGTACTTAATATTAAAGGAAAAAAAGCTTCAGCTGGCAACTGTTTCCCCCGATGACCCTATAAAGCCACGTTCAACTATACTTTATATCAAAATGGTTTAAATCTAAAAAGGTCCTGATGAAAAGAAGCACAATCACAACCAATCAGTTCTTCTGCCTACCATTCTAGATAAGACTTTTCTCCCCAGGGTGAATTTCATATGGCAAGTTCTGAAAAATTAACTTCGAAGAACACATGTTCACCCCCTCAGTATTCTTAAAGTTCCCCCAGTCAATGGGTCGGAAGTAAAAGAGCTCTAACACGGGGTCAAATAAACCCAAACAGAGAGGAAGTGAGTTTCTCTGGGTTCAACGTGCTTCTCTACCATTCCAGCAAGTTGGGTCGAGTTGTCATCTTGTAAACGTTTCTCCCACTCTCATAGGTAGGGGTGACGCTGATACATCACCTTTGGATATGTGAAAAGAATCGAGTCACTCTGGGAGGACTGACGCCTTTTCTCGGGACCCGAGACGCCGGCCCACTTAGGGGGCCCGGGAGGCATGCCCCGGCCAGGAGCCGGAGCCGCTGTCAGGGGAGGGACGGAGCGGGGCGGAGGACGGGCCCGGGAGGAAATCTGAAAGGAGGCTCGAGCCCAAACAAAAACAACCCAAAGTTGAGCGCGGCAGAGGGAGCAGATTGGGCGAGACCATTCACGGCTGCCCATTGGAGAAAAGGGAAAACAGAGTCCCCCAATCGCGAGCGGCGGGGCTGCTCCCCTCGTGCGGCCGCGGGCCGGCCCGGCGCTGCCCGGCGGCCGCTACCGCTCCCTTCCGGCGGCGGCGCCCACT